TAGTGCAGCAGCCTCGACAAAACCAGTGACACATCGCTGAGGAAATAACTCACTAAGCACCTGAAGGGAGAAGGTCTCCTGCTGACTCTGCTGCCGCCTCTGTGAAGTACGTAGAAAACCAAAGCCTCTACCACCTGGACGGGCTTGCTGAAGAACCCACTCGCGAAGCTGCTGAGGGGTGGGGTCGTCCTGGAGAGGCAGTGACCGCCGCTGTCCACCCCTAGCCGCTGCAACTGCCGTGATAGTGGCCATGACAGGCAGTGACGGTCAGTAGTAGGTCCAGCACCTCCGGAACCAGCAGCACCTCCAGCACTCCCAGTCGCACGTCCGGCACCAGCTGCACCTCCAGCACTCCCAGTCGCACCTCCAGCAGCCCCAGCACCAGCAGCACTCCCAGCACTCCCAGCAGCACCTCCACCAGCAGCAGCAGTAGCACGAGCAGCAGCAGCAGCAGTAATGGCAGCAGGGCGGCTTGGTGGGGCTGGTGATCAAGGTACGGAGGCGCGGCTCGGGTTGGGCAGGACGGCTCGGGCTGGGCGGCGCGGCTCGGCCGGGCAGGGCGCGTTGCGGGCTGCAGGACAGGGCGCGCGGTGGACAGGGCAGCAGGGCGCGCGCTGTGCAGGGCAGCAGGGCGCGACGTGTGGGGCAGCAGAGCGCGACGCGCTGGCTGCAGTAGGGTGCGGCGCGCTGGCTGCAGCAGGGCGCGACGCTAGGGGCAGCAGAGCGCAACGCGCTGGCTGCAGTAGGGCGCGAGGCGCTGGCTGCAGCAGGGCGCGACGCGCAGGGCTGCAGAGCGCGACGCGCTGGCTGCAGTAGGGCGCGACGCGCTGGCTGCAGTAGGGCGCGACGCGCAGGGCAGCAGGGCGCGATGCGCTGGCTGCAGTAGTGCGCGACGCGCTGGCTGCAGCAGGGCGCGACGTGCAGGGCAGCAGAGCGCGACGCGCTAGCTGCAGTAGGCCGCGACGCGCTGGCTGCAGCAAGGCGCGACGTGCTGGCTGCAGCAGGGCGCGACGTGCAGGCTGCAGTGGGGAGTGAGGCGCGGAACAGCAGAGCGCAACGCGCGGGCTGCAGCAGGGCGTGACGTGCGGGGGGGGGGGCAGGCAGTGCGAGTAGCTGCAGGGCAGCGCGACACTGTGTGAGCAGGGCCGGACAGCGCAAGGGCGCTTCGGGCAGGAACGAGCGAAACTATCGGTGGGCCCTAAAAACTTAACAGGTTTCTTGGCTGCAGTAGGGCGCGACGCGCTGGCTGCAGCAGGGCGCGACGCGCATGGCAGCAGGGCGCGACGCGCTGGCTGCAATAGGTTGCGACGTGCTGGCTGCAGCAGGGCGCGGCGCGCTGGCTGCAGCAGGGCGCGACGCGCAGGGCAACAGAGCGCGACGCGCTGGCTGCAGTAGGGCGTGACGGGCTGGCTGCAGCAGGGCACTACGCGCAGGGCAGCAGGGCGCGACGTGCAGGCTGCAGTAGGGCATGAGGCGCGGAGCAGCAGAGCGCGACGCGCGGGCTGCAGCAGGGCGCGACGTGCGGGGGGGGGGGCAGGCAGTGCGAGTAGCTGCAGGGCAGCGCGACATTGTGCGAGCAGGGCTGGACAGCGCAAGGGCGCTTCGGTCAGGAACAAGCGAAACTATCAGTGGGCCCTAAAAACTTAACCGGTTTCCTGCTCTGATACCTTGTCGTAATAACTGTGCAGTGGGGTACAAGTACTAACCCTAAAGTGTTGTACTATTGTAGGCTAACCCACTATAGCCAAGAAAGAACACAAACATATAGTTTGACAAAAGTAACGCGTACGGTCACTTTATCGGGTTTGCCGACGGGTTTGGTAAGTGGGGTCACGGATTCAGTCACTAACAACGGGTAAAAAATCACGAGAATGGTCACACATGTAACTCCCGCCAATTTTTTTTGAAACTCTACAAAATTCCCGCTCGCACCCTACCAATCAGCTAACTTCTAAGAAAACGAAAACCCAACCGGAATCGGATGCGGTTTGGGAACTGATCAACCCTGAACACCTGGCCAGCTGTGTTTAGGGTTGATTCATCCGAAAATGCATCCAGGTTCGTTTTTGGTATTATCTTTTTTGGGCGGGAGTTTCATCTGTGACCATTTGCGTTGTTTTTTCCCAGTTGATTGTGACTGATTCCGTGAAACGTTTTACCGTATACTCCCGGACAAAACACCCCCCCATAATTGTACACCCCCGGGTAGCTTGTGCGGGGTGGGTGTTATGGGGAGCCTCGTTTCTACTATACCCCCCTTTTTTGCTGATTTTCTATAACACCCCCCTTTTCTTACGAATTCGTTATAATAGTCATTAACGAGTAGCTGCAATATTGAAGAATATCGCGAAAATTTCTCCCTAGATGAAATTTCGCGGTACATTCACTTACAATCTACCGAGATTTCCCCCCTCGCACTACTTCGCTGTGACCACGTGCAGGCGAATCTTCCGCTGCAAGTGGCAAGAGAGGTGCCACATGGCATTTTCGTGGGGGTGATGAAGCTCGTGGCCGAAACCCACATTCGCGCCTCAGACAGTGATGTTAAAATGAAAATCAAAACACCCACATTGTCTAATTAAATAAACACTAAAACATACCATATGTAAAGACCCGGGTATTGGTATGTATTTTTTTCCTATGAGGAGACCCCCCCATTTTTTCCCTGTATTTTTAGCTATACCCTAGGGTGCTATGTCCGGGAGAATACGGTATCTAACAGGTGAAAACACCTTTGCATGCAGTGACCGTACCCGTTATTTTTTTACCAAACATATTATCGAGACCCTTGGCATATTTTCCCTATTTCCACATACTTCTAGTTCACTTGATTGCCTTCAATGAAGCTACACTGTTACGTGAGCAATGTTTAAAGCAAATGAGTATTGCATAACGGGGTCAACGAGCAATATCCTGTAAGAGAAGCCATGAGCTACATAGCATTGACTAACAAACATACCGTATAAACGGTGGCACGCAAATGTAAGCTAACTTATGCATACCCGAGGCGCGATTTGGGCCATTTCCACGGCGTATGCCTGCACAACCCTAGCGTAGTTTAGTAGCAGGCGTTGCGAACACCGTTAGCCAATACGGTACCGTAACTGGCGAAAAAGAACGGTCGAGGCTTGTACACAGGATAACTGGTCCAATGTATAGGATTAACACCTCCCTTCTTTACACTTCGTGGAGTACTAAAGGCATAAGTCGTGTAGTCAATAAATTTGTAATCTATTTAGTTATGGCTCCTTTGCTGCCTAATGAAATGATCAGGGATCTATAGCGGCCAATGAAATCATAGCTGGTACCACTCGATTTAATAAGGAAGTGAATATTTGAAAGATCGTCAGCATCGGCTATCTGTACCTTACTACCAGCACACCACTAACCAAGTACTCTCCATGTAATGTACGGTACAACATTGTCAGAGGCTAACGAGGGAGTGTAATTAGCCTGATGCCAGTAACACTTTTTCAATAGCCGCCTAAGAGTCTATTGACGCTACCCTTGCTGCCCCGCCAGGCCTGCTTCCGAGGCTGTCTAGTTCGCACCTGATTTGCCTTTGTTGACCATGGCACCCTTGGGAGCAGCACTCTTGGGAGCAGCAGCACTCTTAGGAGCAGCAGCACTCTTGGGAGCAGCAGCACTCTTGGGAGCAGCAGCACTCTTAGGAGCAGCAGCACTCTTGGGAGCAGCAGCACTCTTGGGAGCAGCAGCACTCTTGGAAGCATCAGCACTCTTGGGAGCAGCAGCACTCTCGGGAGCAGCAGCACCTTTAGGAGCAGCAGCAGTGTCAGCCTCCCCCAATGTCTTGCCAACCTCTCCCTCGCTTTCCCCCCCTTCCCCCTCCCTCTTGTCCCCCTCCGTTTTAGTCCTATCCCTCTTTGCATTCTTGACCTCAGCCGAAGGAGCAGGGGACGGCAAGAGCGAAGGAGAAGGAGAAGGAGCAGGAGTTGTAGGAGAGGGAGATGGAGAGGGAGACGAAGCAGTGTACCTCCCAGCTTCCTTCCTAGCCAGCTCCTTGTAAAAGTCCACATAAGAGTATGTTAGATACTGTGCGCGCACCTGCTGCATATCCGCCCTCTCCTGCGCACTCAGTCCCTCTTCCCCCAGCCCCTTTCCCACCTCACTGCTGCTGCTGCTGGTGCTCGTAGTGGCCGAGCTTTTGGTGTGAGAGCGGTTGGAGGAGGAAAAGTTGAATTCCTGGTACTGGGCTGTGAACGGGCCGTATGACCAATCCATCTGACAGCGAAACGGCACAGGGGGAGGGGAGAGGCGGGAAGGAACAAGGTGAAGGTGCAGGGGGAAGAAGCAAGGGAAGGAGCAAGGGAAAGGAGGAGTGGTTGGAACAACGGCCTGATGGCAATCTCGGTACAGTGCCAGCAACGGTGATGCAAAGGTGCTGCACGAGAGAAAAAACGCCCGACAGCGCAACAACACAATAGCATAAGAGCAGCGGAAATGGGAATGGCATGGCATTGCAAAGGGAAGGGATGATAATTGAAACGCCAAGATAAGGGCATTTAACTCGAGGTGGCAGGTGAGAGAAGGCAAGGAGGAATAGGAGGAAGAAGAGGCGGCGCAGGACGGGGAGGCGAGCGTACAGGAGGCATAGCCCAGTCCGCGGACCAGATGCTTGCGCACACCCGCAGTGGCGACACCACACCGACTGCTGGGCTGTGCGGGTTGAAGCGCGTCTCTCGGATGGGGCGCTCATCCACATACCAGCTGGGGGCAGGGATGGGGGAAGGACAGGAGGGGTTCAAATCATTGCTGCACCAGCTTGGCACTAAAGGCATCATGGCAACTGTAGAGTAGAGAGAGGGGTCTTGTGACGCGAGACATGGGAGAAAGGAGGAAGAGAGCAGGCACAAGGGAAGAAGGACAAGGGACAAAGGACAAGGGAGAAATAGATCACAGAGCAGGGAGCAGGGAGCAGGGATTAGTAAAAAAGAAGGACAAGCGGCATGGGATGGGACAGGGGAGTAGGAGGCAGCGACTCACACAATAGCCTCGGGTGACCAGCGCACGCTGTACGTGTGGAATTCACTGGTGGGGTCGAACCACGGCTGCATCTGCTCCTCGTGCCCGCCCTTGCCGTTGGCGTAGTAGTTGGTGTGGATGCGGATGCCGCTCGGGCTCTCACTGCCTATCAGCTCAAAGTCTATCTCGTCGTGCCGCCCAGGCAGCTTGCTCGCGAGCTGGTCACGGGCATGGGCGGAAAAGGGCAAAAAGAGGGAGGGCGAAAGAGGGATTGGAGGGAGGGCGTTGAGCCGCAGGAGTGGGCCGGGTAGGATGGGACGGGATGGGGCGGGATGACATGGGTGGCAAGGGCGAGGGTAGAGAGGGCATGCCAACATGCCGGCATGTCATTCAGTGACTCCCTCCACAGTCCGCTCTGGCAGTTCACGCAGCAGCGGTTACCTCTGCTTCACAAGCACAGGTAACTAAGACGACGCCCCCGCAGAGCGTGGTGCGACTCACGTGCAGCCTGAGGCTATAACGACTCACATAGAGCATACAAACGACGCTCTTAGAGCACAGCACACGGGCGGAACCCGTAGCTGCCCCAGTACGCTCTTCGAGAATTCTCAAATCTGTTGCAGCTGTCTTTTTAAGGAATCCTAGAAAGAAACAAAGCGTGCAGCCTGCCGTGACTCACATAGAGCGTGGTGATGACGCTCCCCGAGTACACGGGCGGCACCTTGATCCGCGCCGACAAGAACCCGAACCGCAGGTACGACTTGGAGTTGACAGCGCCCACTGCGCGCAATACGGGGAATGGGCGGATGGGGGACGGGGGCAGATGAGCGGAAGCGAAGGTGTGGATTGCCAGTGGAGCAGATGGGGAAGGTGAACGACGGGAAGAGCAGAGCGCGACAAACCCCCTGCTTGGATGGTAGGAAAAAGGGGCGGAAATCGGGTGATTGTGGTTGCATGCGCATGCGCGCATGCACGTTTGCGAGTGTGCGCGTGGGTGGGTGGGTGTGTAGATGCAAATACGGCTCACATCCTGCGTATTGGTCGAGTGTCAGCCGCACGTCGCCTGAAGTGCGGTCGATCTGTCCTCGAGCCGCCGCTGGCAGGCTGGGTCAGTGCCATGCGGCAAGGCCTCCCAGCAGCGGACGGATCGCCGGAAACACTAGCTCCGCCGCAAACGGGAGACTGCGACGCGGCCACGCTGGCTTCCTGAATTATAGTTTCTTCCCCGGAATCGGGACCGTATGGAGCGTGAGAGTCGGAATCTGACTGCAGGGAGTTCACGCTGGGTTTGCTGGCGGGGAGGAATTTCCGGAACATGAGCTGTTGCGACTCGCGCGGCTTCATGGGATGAGGGTGGAACGAGGGGAATGCAGCGGAGGGCGGCAGGAGGCTGACGACGAGCAGAGTGAGGGTAATGAGTAGAGTTGATTCAAACGATCGGGCTTGAAGTCGATTCAGAAGCCCGGATCGCGCCATGGCTTATGGTGGGAGGGAGAGATGTACTACTGAAGATTACGCCAGCACCTTTTAGCCTGAAGCTGGAAAGTCAGAGAGGAAACCATGCAGCTAGTTTCCAGACCAACAATAAGTTCTCTGCTGAAAGACGTCTGCGACCATGTGTAACGAGGGAGCAGCTAAGGACGAAGGTCATATGTTCGAGTTATCTTTTACTTATGGTCTGTAGAATGAAACCAGAGCAAACGAAGCTCTGTGTTCTGCATACCTTCTGTAACGCGCGATGCGACCCGAATTTGATGCGATGCGATTTGGTAGACAAAAATGTGACCATCCCGTGGGGCCGGTGCTTTCGGGTACGGGCAGGTCAGAAGAAGTCAGATGCATGATTTGAGATGGTGCGGATTCTGGCGGGCCAATGGGATGTCAGATCGCGTGGTTGGGCTTGACCTTAGGGGGAAACTGGTGCAGCACAGTTGCCAGGCAACTGCTAACGCCAGCAAACGCTGGAACAGAGAACCCAGGAGGGTCAGGCGCGAAATTTGAAATATACCACGTGGCTTTCTGTCACTCGCTGGAGTTACAGATACTTCTGTGCACACAGCAGAGACATTCTGCGGCAGACTTGGGAGGGGGAATGACTGCGAAACATTGAGCTGTTACATTAAGCGAAATGAAATGAGAAAAAGACATACATGTCTTATGGTAATTACCCCCACCATACGAGGGAGATATAGTAAACAGAAAACAAGTCCAACTAGAACAGCAAGCAACTCCGAAAAGCACTACAAGGTTGCCAATTAGTAACTAAACTGCAAAATTGACATAACATATGCCCAATAGTAGGGGCAGCTGCGTAGGGATATACTGAAAGGTCAAAAATGGGATTTTACTAAGGTGGGTAGCTTCCAACCTTGGCAGAATTCGTCACTGTAACAATCTCCCAAACAGCTTGGGTCCTGAGTTGTTTCCGGTTGACCCTGTTGTTGCTGCTGCTGCTGCTGCTGCTGCCGCTGCCGCTGCTGCTGTCCCAGAGGCTTCTGTTATCCCAGATGCATTCGCTTGTGCTTGTAAATGTGACTGTGTCTGTGTGTGCGCCCTCTGTGCGTCTTCAAGGGACAGGAAAACGGATGCCAAGGGCAAGCCCGCACCTGAATTAGGCTTTTGACTCTCCCTTGCCTCGAGAGGTGACGGTGGAAGGGAGAACGACACAAACGGGGGAGCCAAGCGGGTCAGTGTGGTGGTTCTGGTGGTTGCACTGAATGCCAATGCGGCTGACGCTGCTGTGCCTCCAGTTTGTGGAGCATTGAACGAGGGGACAGCAGAAGAAGAAAGCACACGAGCACTACCAGAGCCATGGTTGGGTAGAGGAGCAGGGGGGGCATGAGGTGGAGCCATGTCAGCCAACTGTGAAAACGCGAAGGCCTCGCCACCAGCAGCAGCAAGAGCTCCGGCAGTGCTCCTACCAAAAGCTGATACAGCTGTCATGGTAGCAGCTGCTGATGTTGAAGGTGCAGCAGCAGCCGCCGCCACAGCAGCAGCAGCAGCAGCAGCAGCAGCAGCAGCAGCAGCAGATGATGTCAGTGGATGGAAAGGCAGGGAATGTGAGGAGGAACGGGTGAGCAGAGCTGGGTTGAAGGCAGCAGGAGCGTGACTGGTCAGGGGTATGGCGATGCTTGTGGGGCTGGCAGCAGGCTCAGACCCCTCAGCCGTGGCAACAGCAGCTGCTGCTGCCGCTTTCCAGTCTGGAGCGACTCGATCCATGACCACGCCCATGCCCATTCCCACGCCTGTGCTCATTGCGTGTGCATCAGTGCTGCTGCTGCTGGCCGCTTTGGTAGTGGACCGGGTTTTGGTTGGGGAGAGAGAGAGGACGGGCCTGGGAGGAGGGAACATGGATAGGGGCTGAGTGTGTGCTGCAACGCTGGAGAGTGTGTTGAGCTGAAGCTGTGCTGCTGTTCTGGGGCTGAGGCTGTGCGTGGAAAGAACAGCAAGCAGAGAGTTGGAACTCCCTCCTCCTCCTCCTCCTCCCCCTCCTCCTCCTCCTTCTGTAATGGTATTAGCAGCCGAAAGAGAAGCAGTGGAACCAGTAGCTACTGCAGCAGCAGCAGCAGCAGCACCAGCAGGAGTGCCAGTAGCGACAGAAGCAGTAGAAGCGGCAGCAGAAGCAGCAGCAGCAGCAGCAGCAGGAGCAGGAGCAGGAGCAGGAGGAGGAGCAGCAGCACGAGCAGGCGCAGGAGCAGGGCCAGCAGCAGCAGCAGGGGCAGCAGCAGCAGGGCCAAGAGTAGCAGCAGCGTTTCTCTTTCTCAGCTTGGCTGCCTCCATGGCCATCAGCCTCGCCCATCCACTCCGCGCTGTCATTCCAGGTGCACACCCCGTGGGCGCAGCAAAACGAGCAGAAGAAGCAGCAGCAGCAGCAGAAGAAGAAGACGATGCACCAAGGAGAGAATTCGAGGTTGGAGAGGCGAGGTCCTGCATTGCTCCCTCCACGTCCCTTCTCTCCACACCATCCCCACCCTGCCTCACCAACCCTTGCCTCGTCCCCTCTCCAGCAGCAGCAGCAGCAGCAGCAGAAGCAGGTCCTGCCCCGCTGCTCTTGCTCTCCGCAGCCAAGCCTCCTCCCTGCATGAGCAGCAGCATGCGCTGCAACGCACCATCCCTCCCACCCTCTCTCTCCGATGCACTGATAGTCACCCCCCCACCCGCACCAGCAGCAGCAGCAGCAGCAGCAGCAGCAGCAGCAGAGACGGCAGACACAGAAGGAGCAGCAGAAGTAGTCCCAGTATAGTCGGAACTAGTTGCTTGAAAAGGGAATCTCTCCTCTCCCTTTGACCCTGCTACCCAGCCCGTTCCTCCTCCACCTCCTGCCCCCACTCCCGCCGCCTCACTGATTGCCGCACCCAAGGCAGCAGCAGCGCTAACGGCAGCATTAGCAGTGGCAAAAACACTGGTATGAGCATTATCCTGAGCAGCAGCAGCAGCTGAGTCGTCAGTGGGGGTGTGGCTGTGTTCCCCTTCGTACGTGGTAACCATCATGGCAGGGTTGGAAGGGCAGCGCTGCACGTGCTTCTTCATGTTGCAACTGGGGTACCCGCACTTGTAGTAGCTCCTGGTGAAAGGGAAGGAGTGGCCATGAAAGGAGGGATCGGATAAAAAGTTTAGTCGACTAGCAATAGTTTAGTGTGACTTCATGGTGCTACCGGGGTACCCGCACTGGTAGCAGCTCCTCTTCTGGTGGAAGGGAAGGATGGCATGGAAAGAGGGATCGGAGCAGGGATGTTCAGGGACAGCCAGAGCAGGCTCTTGAGTGCGCCTAAAACATCAAGGGGTTTTAGAGCCGACTCAAGAATCGTCGCATCACACATCGGGACAAACAGGGAAGGTACTCTCATGCGGCGCATAAAACATCATCGCACACATGAAGCGGAAACATCCAAAGCATACGGGTATAGCACTGTGGAGGGGAGTGTGGGGGGCAAAACTTATAGTAGCCCCTGGAGGACACACGGAAAGGGGCGGGGTGAGAAGGAGGTGAGAGGAGCGGGAGTGGGAGTGGGAGTGGGAATGGGAACGCTGGTGGAAGGACAAGGTTCTGTGTAGATCAGGTGTGGGGTAGGGTGTGAAGAGGCGTCGGAGGACGGCCCGATGGGAATGCTGGCATGGTTTTGCAGGCAGCACAAGGCAAGGGAGGGAAACACGAGGGGAGAGCACAGCAGAGTGCGATGACAGCGGGGAATATCACGACCGCACTAGAGAGCAGAGAGTCCTGTCTTACACGGCGAGAAGAAGCAGCAGCAACCAGGCCGATGAGCTAAGAAATGCGTGGCACGTTTCTTACAACAATTACCACCCACCCTCCCTCCCACTCTCACTCCCAATGACTGCCACTTCTACTCCCGCTCTCCCTCCCTCTCTCTACCTCCCACTCCCCACCTGCACGTGCCTACCTGGGGAAGGGGCAGTTTTTTATCTCCTTGTGCCCGTACTTGCGCCACTTGTGCCCGTCCCTCAGCACGTCGTTCTCACCACACTGCGTGCGCACCACCACGCGCTTCTGCTGCCCCTGCTGCACGCGCAGCCGCCCTGAAAAAGGCGCCACCACCGCCTCAGCCAGACCACCAGACTGCAACCCTGACTGTGCCTGTGCCTGTGCCTGTGCCCGTTCCCTCGCCCGTGCTTGCGCCTGTGCGTTTGCCCGTGCATCTGCCTGTTTTTGTGCCTGTGTCTGTGCCTGGGCCTGTTCTTGTGCCTGTACCTGTGCTTGTGCCTGTGCCTGTGTCTGTGCCTGGGCCTGTTCTTGTGCTTGTGCCTGTGCCTGTGCCTGTGCCTGTGCCTGTGCCTGTGCTTGTGCCTGTGCCTGTGCCTGTGCCTGTGCCTGTGCCTGTGCCTGTGCCTGTGCCTGTGCCTGTGCCTGTGCCTGTGCCTGTGCCTGTGCCTGTGCCTGTGCCTGCAGCACTGCCTGCACGTGGCTCAAGCCTTCCGTGATCGGATCAGCAGCAGCAGCACCCTGGCTCCGCAGCTCCCTTGCTTCTCCTCCCTCACTCAACATCCCAGCGCCCTCGTCCCTCGCCTCTCCCCCTGCCTGTTCCCACACCTCTCCCCCCATTGCTCCTCCCAGATCCTCCGCCCATGTTCCCCTTGCCCCTGCGCCACCACCCCACGCAGGCGCACCTCCTGCGACAGCTGCACCTGCAGCTTCTGTCCCTGCTGCCCCTCTTGCCCCCGCTCCCCCTACCCCCCCTGCTGCCCCCGCCGTCCCGCCACTGGCGAACTGTCTGCCAGAGCCACTCTGGGCGAGCGCAGCCCGTAGCGCTGCCCCTATGCCGTGGGATGATTGCAGTACCAACTGCAGGTGCTCCAGCAGTCGCAAGGGCTGCTGCGCGGAAACGAACGCCGGTGGGCGGCCGGTGAGGGGAGCAAGGGTAGCGAGAGAGGTGAGGGACGCGGAGTGTGAAGGCGGTTTGAGTGACGAAGAGGAGGAGGGGAGAGTGGAGAGGGGGGAAGGGAGTGGGGCCGAGGACCGGTGGAGAGGGGAGGGGAGAGTGGGGGCAGCAGCAAGAGAGGATCGATTGAGAGTGCTGCTTGTGGCGGTGACCTGTGCTGGGGAGGACTGTGGCAGAGGAAATAGAGCAGGGGGGAAGGCGGTGAGGGGGAAATAGGGTGTCTGGGAGGGTTCCTGAGGGCCAGAATCTGCCCCACTAGAAGCAGGAGGAGCAGGAGGCGCAGGAGGTGCAGACGCAGTAGCAGCAGATGCACCACCACCAGCAGCAGCACCACCAGCAGCAGTAGCAGCAGCAGCAGCTGTGGCGGCAGCGGCAGCAGTAGCGGCAGCAGCAGCAAAACCTCCAGTGGCCTCAAGCCTTCCTGCAAATGCATTGTCATCCCACGCTATATCTTCCACGCCTCGATCCATACCTCCTCTTACTCCCGCTGCCTCGATCTCTTCATGCGCTCCCACTCGCCCTTGCTCCTCCGTGACAGCAAACGCCTGTGCTCCGTACGATCGATGCGATCCAACGGACCACAGCCTGAGCCAGTCCGAGGGAAGGGGCGCAGAGGGAGCCGATGCTCCTGCTGCCGACGCATTCAGAGCAGCAGCAGCAGCAGGAGCAGAAGCAGCAGCAGCAGCAGCAGCAGCAGCAGCAGGAGCAGAAGCAGAAGCAGCAGCAGCAGCAGCAGGAGCAGAAGCAGCAGCAGCAGCAGCAGCAGGAGCAGCAGCAGCAGCACCGATAAAATCAGTCGCGGTCGCGGCAACGACAGTGGCAGCAGTGGGGGCAGTGGCGGCAGCAGGGGTGGCAAGGTGGTGTGTTGTTGTCGCTGCCACGACTGATTCCAAGTCTCCCAGAGAGCCAGACAGCGTGTGGCTATCCATCCGTCCCTGCACCCACGCACGCGCATCCCTCACACGCCCCTCCCCCCATGCATCACTGTCCGCCCTGCGCTTCTGCCCCCTTGCCTCCCCGCCGCCAGGCCATGTCAACACCCCCATGGGAACACTTCTCGTACCCGCAGCAGCATCAGCAGCATCAGCAGAAGCAGCAGAAGCAGCAGCAGCATCCACAGCAGGCGTGGCAGTGGTGGGAGCCATGGCCATACGTGTGTTGATGTCACCCACTGCTGATGCAACCCCCCTCCTCATGCCACCCCCACCCATCCACCAACGCAAGCATTCCTCCAGTCCGCCTCCTGCAGTGCCAGCAGCAGCAGGCATATGCAAGCCATCGTCCCCACCAGCGCCAGTTTCAGCAGAGGCAGCAGGAGCAGGAGCGGCACGCGCAGTAAGAGCCTGCAAAGCTGTTTCGAGTGCAGCACCCTTGGGACTGTCGCCCCACAAGCTCGCTCTGCCACCGCTGCCCTTCGCTCCCCCTCCTCCTCCTTTCTCCTCGCATGTTGCCTCTGCCTCCCTACCAGTCGCCTCCTCTTCCTCCTCCTCCTTTACCTCCCCCCCTTCCGCCTCCTCTTCCGCCTCCTCCTCCTCCTTCCCAGCACCAGACTCCTGGCCTCCACACCTTTGTCCTTGCCACCATAAGCGCCCTCCACCTCTCATCCCCTCTCCCTCCTCCCCTCTCCCCACCCCCGCTCTCCCACTACCACCAGCAGCAGCACCCGCACCCCACACGCCGATTCCCGATCCTTCCCTTCCCCCACTGCCTCCTCCGGCTCCCTCCTGCCGCCCTGCTCCCTCCCTACGCCAGGCTCTCGTTTCCTCCCGCCCCTCGTCTCGCCTCGCGTCACCACCGGTGCTTGCACCACGGGGTTCGGAGTTTCCAACCTGGTGGTCGTCAGTGCTGAAACGGCTGTTACTGGGGCAGGTCGTATCACAGAGCACGAGAGAGCGATCACCTGCTCCTTGGGGGGGGCGACGCTGCCACAGCAACACCACTGCCAGCCCCACCAGAACACACAGTAGCCGCCACAGCAGCAGCAGCAGCAGCAGCAGGGGTGGCAGCAGGGGTGGCAGCAGCGGTAGCACCTGGCGTGGCAACAGTTCCAGGTGTCACTTGCTGGGCAGGTCGAATCTGACATTCCCTCGTGCCACTGGTCCCACTGGGCCCGCTGTGCCTCGTCGGCACATGCAAGTACACTTGCACACCCCCTTCTTTCCACGGGAGAGCAGCCGTTGCAACAAGCCCCGCGAACTCAGCAGCACCAGCAGGACTGCCGACGTGAATGGGAGACGGAGGAAAAGGCACCGCACGTGATCTACCTAGAGCAGCAGCGACAGGGGAAGGTATAGCAATCGGGGGACTCATCATGCCCAGCATGGAAACCCCCCCTCCCCCTCCCCTTCCCCCTCCGCCTCCCCATCCCCCACCGCCGGCGTCGCCACCGCCGCTGCTGCTAAATTCATTTAACAGCGGATGGGGAAAAGTCCAGCGTTCAAATTGCCGGCAAGTGGGCGAATCCGCCTCAGTCGCGTGGCATTTTATCACCCGGCTATCGCCGTTACGAGCATGGGGGAGAGAGCAGGGCGGAAAGCGGGTGGTGGCGGAGGTGGGGGCGACTGGCGCGGCCTCCCCCGGGTACATGGGGAAGGCAGCAGCGGCTGTAGCAGTGGCGGCGGCTATAGCAGTCCCGGTGGTTGTAGCGGTGGCAGTGGCGGTGGTGGTAGTGGCGGTGGTGGTAGGGAGGCTGATCCAATGCACGAGGTCGCGAACAGGGGCAGCAGCGCGAAGCGCCTCGTCGCCTGCTTGCCTGCTGCAGCTGCTGCCACTCCTCTTGCTGCTGCTGCTACCGCTGGCACCGCTGGTACCGCTGGTACTGGAACCGCGTTTGGCGGACCTGCTGCTGCCGCTGTTATCTGCCGCCATGGCCGCATTATTCAGTTGCCACGTCGCTTTCCGTATCGGATCCGCGGCGCCACTTTCCCGCACGGCGGCGGCGGCGGCGGCGGCCGCCGCGGCCGCCTGCCCGGCAGACATCACGGGATCTACGCGAAATGCGGGGGCGGGGCGAGCGGAACTTGCGGCGCCGGAAATTGCGGCGCCGCCAGGGCTGGCGGGGATAGCAAAAGCGCTAGTAACAGTCGGGCGGCCGCCGCGCGACGCTATAGTTGCCAGCGACGGACCACATTTCTCTATAGTTGCCATTGTTGCCATTGTTGCCATAATTCCCGCGCATGGCAATGGCCAGCGGCTCTCGGCGGCCGCAGCTGCAGCTGGCGTTTCGCCATGCGGGTTGAGGGAGAGGTTGAAGCGCGCCGAATCCCGAAAGTGTGGCCCACGGCCCTCCGCGAACGTCGCGAGGGGGCGGCTCGCCCCATCTGCAGATCGATAAGATTTTCTCCTTTCTGCTGCTGCTGCTGCCGCTTCTGATGTTCCCGCCGCGGGCCGCGGTGCAGCTTCCGAAGCGGCTCTTTCCACCGCCGTCGCCGTCGCAGCGCCGCGTGCCTCCGACTTCAGGCGGTCCCGCGACGCCCGATCGGCCAACAATTCTAAGTTCCCTTTCGCGCGACGCGGCGCATTCGGCGACCAAGCTGCGGCCGTTCCGCCGCCGCCTCTCCCAGAAGCAGTACCTCCCGGCGGCACCTGATCGGGCGCAGCAACTGTGTCAAGCGCGGCCGCGCCTGGCGGGATGATATCGATACCCAGCATCCCCGCTGAGCGCGGCGCGGCTCCAATTCGCCCCTCCCCGCATTCTCTGCCTCCAGTGCTTTGAAACAAAGCCGTGTGAATGCGCTGCGGCGACGAAGTGATCGGGTGGGCGACGCGGAGTCCGGTCGCCAGCTCCACCGCCGCAGCGAGAGCCGCAAATGGATCACCTGCGCGCTGCGCAGCGATAGCTCCGACTCGGGGCGATTCGGATGGGGACTTCTTGTCTTGATGCGGTCCGCGCCGCGCTAAGGGCGGGGTCATGGGCTTGGCGAGTCGAGAGTAAAATGCATCCAAGAGTTAACTCTGCTCAGAGACGTTGAGCTGGTGCGACGCGCTGAAGTCAGGACGACGAGAATTGTGGACTGAGAATGGGGAATGTCTTGTTCCCAGGGGAAGAAGAAAAATTACTTCTCCCAGTCGTGTCGTCGCGTCGCAAAAAACGGCTACTAGGCGCTCTTGCGAGGACAAATTCGATCGAGCAGGTGATTTCGTCGGGAAAAGGAGGCGCGGCGTCAGTCGGTGATGAATCATGAACAGTTGTAGAAAATCAACGATTAGAAACTGCCTCCCCACGATCGTGTCCCGGCAACGGCGACCTCAGGTCGAAGGGGCCCCTTTCAAGAATCGACTAGGAACGACGAGGAAACTAATCTCGGCATAATTGTCAGGCGCGCAGTGGTAACGCGGGTCAAGGGCTCACGGCGCCGCCAGAGCAGCAAAACCACTTGGGCTTGCGACGCATCGTGCGCTACGGAAACTGTGTTACGAGGCAGGAGCAGCAGCAAATGAGACCCGTGAATTCAGCAGAGTATTACTGATTTCGGGCCTCCTACCAGCGTTAACAGTCGGCGTAGTGTGGCTGAGGCGACGACGCGTGGTGAAGATGATCATACTCAACAAGAATGATCACAGCAAATCAGCAGTTGTGTGTTTCAAAGCCGAGCAGCTGAACGAATGCAGGCACTCACTTGTTGAAGCCGAACGAGCAGCCCACAAGATTTGCTTGATCAATAGCATGACGACGAGAAAGCAATTACAGAAGACAAGGAGTCTTGGGGCACGCGAGATGACAATGATCATGGGGCGTGGGTTTGAATGAGTGGGAAAGAGAATGGAGATCACGACGGGAAATGGTGGTGGTGTGTACACCGCTTCCTTGATGGCCCCTACTGAAGGCACGCGAAGGAAAACGGTACAGAGTGAGGGTAGTTTGTCCTTGAGGTGTATGAATTGGGCAGGGCATGAGTAAAGGGAGGGTAACGTGTCGTGTCGTGTGTGATCCACTCGAAGTCGTGGATAAACACCAACAGTCGCCCAGTGGCGGCGCAGAACACAAATTGACGGCTCCCAACTCGATTTTCCTTTGGCAGCCTACTGCCAGCGCTGCTGATGGTTGAATGTGGTTCGTTGAGACATGTCGTCAATACATGGACGGGCCGGCGTTGTTGAGAAACCCTCAATTTCAAGTACAGTACCCATGAAAAGCAGCTCTCCAACTCTATGATACTTTTGGTTGGCTCTATTTTTAGACAATGTAGAATGAAGCTTGTTAGTCCTTATTCGTAGGACGTGATCATCTCTCCCCAAACCAAAAGCACAAGTCTTTCAGCTCATCAGATAGTTTAGGGTCCGCCTGTTTACTCTTGTGCAACTACCGTTGAGCACATTGAGTATGGAGGAAATTGGACCAATTTACGACACACCTGGTGATAAACGTCACAGGTCTGGAAAGGGTGCCTCGTGAAATTAGAAATGTACCATTCAGAACAAGGGTACAGTGCTCTTGCTCGCCCATGTGACCAGGCAGGCCAGGAACGGACCTGATTAGGCAAGGTGCTGCTCCAGCCGAAATCCGTAACGGATGTGCACTGAAACGGGACCAGACAGGGTCATTGAGGAACAAAACGACAAGCCTCTCGGGGTGATTGGATGGAGACCCCTTGCAAGTGCGAAGCACGACAAGATGAGATGGATCTGACCAGACCACCATTCCTGTACAGTTCAGCTCTCGTGCACGCAACAGAACCAAGAGTTTGTCAATGAAAAATACAGTTCAAAGAGGTGGCTGTGGTGTCCTGACAACAATTCACGAAACAAATACACCCTCTTTCTCAACCTTTTCACCTTGCGCGACTCGTCGCTACAGTACTTGTCTCATGCGATCTGGTGCCAATAAACGTTCCTAGGCAACCTGGGGGGAACGCCGGACCACGTGACAAACTGGCTCAAGGACGTAAAATCTCCGTAATCGCTTCATAACTTTCCCAAACAGATGAAAACGTTGACAACGCTTTTTGTAAAGTGCATAACCTTACCTAACCACATTCTTCGCATTGTGCTTGTACAGTAGTTGACAAGACCATTCTGAACGTGGTGACGTTCTACAATCCATGCACGTTCTCCAACCAGGTGCTCTACTAGCGCGAAATAAGGTGTACAGTGAGTGGCGTACATTGCAGTCAAGTGAGTGGCATGGTCGAGGAGTTTTCAAACGGTAAAATAACTTGCAACCGATCGATCCACCCTTGTTTACTCAGGGCGGCAGTATTTTAAGAGAGAGCAATGTCACTTCTCCTAGCAGTTTACTGAAACAGAAAAGCAAAGCTATACGGAAGGAGGAATACTTTGGAAATAACACCACCCCTAACCTCCACCACACCCAGAGAAAAACAAGTAATTCAGGAAGTGACTACGATCTTTTGTGACTGTGATTCACTACCACGAGGTAATATTGGAAACAGGTGACTACCTCAAAGGGCCAAGATAGTTACCAGGAATCACAAGAGATGATGAACAGTGTACATATTGCTGGATAAACCGCCAAAGTGTAATACACTGACTCCCTTGCACACCCCATATCCTGATGGGTTCCAGCTGGCTAGAAGTGACTTCCGAAAGTTCAGGTTCCAGGCTCAAAACCCCTGTCCCGACAAGTATTCAGCCAGCCCCCACGACGGTATTGCGGGTTTCGCACGTTGCTCGTATAGGAGTGGATAATACTACCACAAATTCGGGTAAACAAATGGGTAGGTAGGTTGAAACAAAGTCGTTCTCCCACCTACTTCACCTTACTTTACATTTACCCCTCGAACACCAAAGAATCCGAAGCTCCTAGGCTATATATACGAAGTCCATTCTGTTATAAGGTATTCCAGAGTGCACAAGGTAGGATCACAACGCTTTCCTCCAAATGATACGAAAGATTACGTATTCGTCCATTCATTTCTATCCTCACATAGATCTAGTTTTTCTTTCTCATGATAGCGCATTATGAGTAGATTTGTAAAAAAAAAAATGGAAAGAAAAAGCAGATTTAGCATATAATAAATTTCACAAGCCTCTGGATGCATCGTTCAACCCACTAACCATTCTTAACATATTCGTATTTTATGTCAAATTTTTCTCTACACTTTGGAAGCATATATTTCAGTAACTCAGAAATAGTTCTGGATAAAGAAAAAACTGAGTCAAAAATCTATCAAGCTTGTCCACGAATTAAGGGATTGAAGGTAGACCAGATTCAATTCATTGAGGCATAGTTTTACTGCCCGGTTTACGAGTGGTATTTCGTTTGATAAGTACAACTGTAAATAGAACAACCGGTGTATGTATATAGAGATAACAGCCCGAGTGATCCACCTCTCGCTATATTTACTGTAGCATGGAGTGACGTGTTCGCAACTAGACTGCCCCGTGCACGCCAGAGCAACACACGACGCAAATCAATCATGGATATGTCCAAAACAAGCGTTTGGAATGCAAACTGTACAACAAGGTCTGTTTAGGGTCTCCTTGGAGCAGCATTTAGTGCCCACGCCAGTCAGGGGCACGCCATTTAGTGTACCGAATCCTTTCGGTGCTTGTTCGACTGACACTCGACATCACGGAAGGTAGTAAAACTTACAGCAACAAGATTGGCCCACACAGCCTTCAGCACTCATTCATTTCCCACATCTCCACAAAGCTCTCATTGAAAATGACATGCTTTAACTTTCTTTGAAGTTTGTCGAAACTGTTACAAGATCCAAGCATAGGTGATGATATCATTATCATATCCATTGCACATGAGCTATCAGTTGACGAAATCGTCGACGTCGTTTCTGGTTCTGTTCGACTCTCCCACCTCCCGAAACACACGCCCCATTAAGGAGTTCACCTTCTTTCAGAGAAGGTCTAACTCCTTTAACCTGACGCGTTGTACCTTCCAATGTTTAGCCAACCTGCGATACCTTGTATGGATTCCAGGCCAAGTCGACTCAATACACCCACAACAGTTGTTCAGTGTTCGAACCCTCCCACTCCCTGCAGGGAACACCAAATGAGAAAATCCAAGCTGCATAGGACTATGATTTGTCTTGCCATTGTGGGCCACCATTGAGACGCATCATCGCCCTTCTCAGAATTGTACAGTACGGCTGCAACAAAAATGCACCACAACTGCCTGAACTTGTAGTTGTCCGCTTCTTAGAAGTGTTGGTACAGTAACTCGAGAATTTCATGAAGCTTCTTCTGAAAGCTCTTCCGCGCTTTTGCTGGGAATGCGAGAGAATTGCTCCAGTGCCTTGTTTGGTGATTCGCTCTTGCCCACGTGTCCCCGAATTGCTCGAGTGGCCATCAAATTCAGTGATAATTGCTCGAGTGGCCACGCCAGGGCATTTTCGAGGGGTTTTTTTTCTCCGGCACATTACCCTACCAGGGTTTGTATCCCCGAAATTCCTCGTTCGCACGAGTCTCATCCCGCGGTAGTGATTCGTATTATTCCCCACCCGAAAATTTCGGGTGGTTGGCGGGCACGAACGTGGCCCGACCAATAGTATATGCGCGGCCATTTTCGCCCCATTGCGCGACCAATGAGCGCGCGGGCAAACAAATTCGGAACCAATAAGCGCTCGAGCATATAAATCCGCGATCATAAACCTCAATTGACCAGCATCAAACCGCAACAGCCCTAACGACCGCGCATGATTCGTCAATGATATGCTCGGTGCAATTGTTGGCATTACACGTCCAATCAGATGCCATCATTAAGGATTGCGACCATATTTGACCGCGCCAATGAAACTCAATTTACTTTATGATCTCGCCAATCATATGCTAAAAACACTCGCACAAACATAAACTCTGGCCAATTAGGTTCTAATTAAAACGCTCATGATCATATGGATGCACGAGTACATTCCATGTACCATTTAAACGGCAACGACTTAAACATGTCAAGCATGTGTATGCTGAGTCCTAAATATTGATTTGGAGTATACGAT